TCCCTCTCTCTCCCTCCCTCTCTCTCTCCCTCCCTCTCCCTCTCCCTCTCTCCCTGTCTCTCTCCCCCTCTCTCTCTCTCTCCTGCTCCCTTTTCGACACCCTCTCTCCGCCGACCTCATCATTCCCGGGTCCTTCTGGTGGCTCTCGTTGCACGCCTTGAGCCGTGCGCGCTTGCGCGTTCCAGCGTGAAGGCTAGGACCCTCGACGCCCATCCTCGACCACCTGTCCCGCGCCCTCCACATCCACCGCGGGGCGTCGCGAGCGGCCAGCGGCCGGCGGATCCATTGCCGCGCCCCCGCCCTCGCCGCGGACCTCTCCAGCTGAGAGCGCTTCTACGCGACGGCACTCGCCTCCGACCCCGCCCTTGGACCACACACTCACACCACACCACATCACATCACATCACATCACCCCGTTCTGTTTTTGGCAGGCAGTCGCAGCACCACAGTACTGTTTCTCTGGAGGTGAAATAAACATGACCGCAACTCCTTTTCTACATTCCCGTCCGTTCTACTATCCACTCAAGTTGCAATTTAAGAGCTTCTTTACTGTCAGTCTCCTCTTTCTTAATTTCCCCCACTCCTGTTTACATCTACAAGCTTTTGTATGGTTTTACGCCTATCGTTTCTTCTTATCTCCTATTCGAAAGAGTACTTCTTGTCTGATCTCAGCGCGATATTTCCTCATCGTATCTCAATCTTCTTTCCCTTCTTTTAATTATTCTCGTAACTGTGAAACCTCCCATTCAATTTCTTCATCCTGAATAGCTGCATCTTGTGACTTCGCTTTCAGTTTCGTTAAGCTTTGTTGTTGTTGTTGTTGTTGTTTTCTTTCTTTTTTCTCGCTCTTACTTTCCTCTCCTTTTACGTTACTGCCTTTTTAACCCTCGCAGCTGGCTCTCATCGTTTCTTTAATATCAGATATGCATCCACAAAACGTTTTGATAAGCCAGCTGCTGTTGTTGTTTTCTAGAACCTTCATTTCTTTTCCTTCTCTACGTACCCAACCCAACCACCTCCAATGCTATCTGTTTCATGTGAACAAAATTTTCTCTAAATTCTGCTTCTCTACAGTCAGTTGAATTCACTGCCACTTACATTCAGATTTGCCAGACCTTTGTGACATTCCTTATCTGCACTACACCTCAATCTGCGCGTTCTTCTCGCTACAGTGCTACTAACAGTTCCCCCATCTTCGCGGTAAACCCCTTCAGTGGGCAGCGGCAGGGAGGCGTGAATTAGACGCCACTGCCCCAGCACGTCGTCTCCGTCTCCTCTGGCATCGCCACCTCCTACCCTCCACGACATTACCCCTACGACATCCTCGCCTATAAGCCCTCGCCGCCACTTAGCCGCCTCCACACAACCCTCGCCGTGCACCCACCGTCTCACCCATCACTGCCGCCGCGTCCTCATCGCTTTCACCATCGCCCTCTGGCAGCCGGGCTCTGCGGCCACCGTCGGGGCCGCCGCCAACGCCGCCGCCTTCGCCGCCGCCCCGCGCGCTTTGTGGCGCTGTCGGCCGCAGGGGTCCGCTCGCCGCCCCCGCTCGAGGCCGCCTGGAGGGCTTCCGCGCGCCGTCAACGCCTCGCCGCCGACCTCGACGCCCGCCCGCCACTCGTGGACGCGTCCTCCATTACCCTTGGAGCGCGCGGGCGTCCGGGCCGTTGTCTGGCCCTCGCGCCCCCATCTCGACTGCCGCCTCGCCTCGCCGCCGCCTCGCCTCGCCGGGTCCGGGCGTGGCGCGCCGACCCTCTACGTCACTGATCTCCACATTACACTGGGGGGTGCGTCGGGAGCCGTAATTGCGATTGTGTGGGTGGACTCTGCTGAAGGGCAGATGGTGACAATGCACGCGCTCTCCTAGAGGAAGACAGAGGGCTGACAGCCATTCGTACTTTATTTGTTCCAATTCTAATTTCAGTTCTTTATGCATTTTTTGATGGAACAAGATTATTGTTTGCACTTTTTATTAATGAAGCTTTATAGTTACGGTTGTGTTCTGATCAACCTCCTTCTTAAAATTTATTTAAAATGTTTACAAATCTCTAATAGTAAGCAGTAATAGAGGTCACTTCATGGGGTTCACCAGGTATGTCTTGGTTTTGTCGTTCCATCGTTCTTAGGCGAATGCAACTGTCACAGAAGCTCTAGATCCTAAAGACAAATGTCTTCAGAGCTAGACCTCTCCTTATTTTGCTCGGCTTTCCATCGAAGACATCAGCCAATTTGCCAAATTCTACACTTGGAAGCGCTCACTATCCTCGCCAACCTGGACTGTACACCGCGGAGAGGTCAAAATGCGTCCTTTGTTCGCGTATGTATAGTATGCCACGATGGTTTCTAGAACGCTCCGGGCTTTTGTTCGGATTCTAGCCCTTTCACATACGACGCTTTGTGACCGCCACTGGACATTTCGTGGAACTGTCATTAGCATGGGGCCACTGTACGAGGATTTGTTGTCTGAAGTACGCAGATGATGGGCACGAGCCGAAAGCGGCTTAGTCTTTAGGGGGCATTGTAGTTGAAATGCGAGATAGAAAGAGACGTAAACCTACTTCTTTTGCTTCTCCCACTCGAAGTTTACTGCATTAATTTGCTACTGGCTGTTCTCGATCGACATTAAATTGAGTGCCGGTGACATTTTTCATACTTCCAAGTTACCTTAAAAGACAACTAATTTCTGTGCTCGTCGAACAAAATTACCGGGAAGATTGCGGGATGTATTAAGTAAAGTTTCAATCATGATGCCCTGAAACCGTAACGCCTGTACTATTAAAAAAGTGTATGTTTTGTTCAGGCACATCCATCTTATTTCCGGTGACTAAATGACGCTTCTTTTTGGGGAAAGTGAAGGTGGGGAGGTGCTCATGGAGCAAAGAACACAAGAGGGGAAGACGAATTGAACAGAATACGTACAGGAAATCATAATGTTTTTGACAGAAAAACTCGTGATGTCCGGGTATCGAAAAAGTGGATAAATCTTGCTCCAAAAATGTATGTTCCTTTCTTCCCGTTGATTAATCAGTTGTGCCCGTTCGGTCTGCCCATCGCTATCATTAATTCATCCCGAATCCTCTCATCCTTTACGAAATCCTCTCATCGCCCGAGAAGAATTTAAGAAGTACTTTCTTGAAACGGTGATATTACTTTCACAGTGCATGAATTTTTCTATTAAGCTTGTGATTCCACAAAAAGAATTTCACTTTCGTATTCTAATTTGATAAAAATTCAAATAACAAGTATTAAAAAAATCAATTTTATTTCCAAACATTGCCTTTCAAAACGTGTTTTCTTAGCAGTGCACTTACCAGACTTGTTTTAAAAAAAATTAGTTCCTATTCAAATTAATTTTCATCAATATATCAATATATTTGATGTAAAATAATTTGGAAACGGTGTGTTCGTGTAATGAAGGCAGTTGTAGGCCCAAGGGAGCGGGGAGAAAATTTCCCCCTTCCAAAAGTCTTAGAGTTTTTTCTTGTTACCCCCTTTACTTGGCAAAATTGATTTCAATACATATGTAGAAATTATGTAATTATTTAAAAAATAATATATTGTAGTATCATATACACGCTACAAAAATAATATACAAAATAATAAAAAAATGTATATGTTTGTTATTTACCACAAAAATATGTTTATCATTTAACAAAAACCTATGATCCTCCCCCCAACAAAAATGATCGGGTAGATCTGTACCTGAATGGGCGGGGGCGTTTTAGAGTGGCATCTTTCCCGCTGGGCATCGCCGGCGTCCTTTCATTGCGGCGTCGCGTCGCGTCGCGTCGCGTCGCGTCGCGTCACGTCACATCGCGTCGTCCGTCGGCGGCCCTTGTTTAGACAGGTGCGCTGTTTTCACTGCGCTGGAGAGCACCGTGGCGAGGGGTGGTGCGGTGTGGGGCTGGACTCTGGGGCGAGCCCCCGGTCGCCTGGTCGACGTCCGCCAGCGCCCGCGCTCGCGCCGTTCTTCGCCCGCGGTGCAGCAGCGGGAGGGGAGACAGGAGGGGAACTCACCCCACGGCCCCGGTGGGGAAAGCAGCGCACTGCACCGCCCTGCGTTTACCCTCCCCTTCCTCTTGAATCCGTTTGTTCAAGTGGGTTTACCCGCTGCTCGAGCAGCCAGTTCGAGTATCGTGATCGGGAGATTAAAGCTAGCCCGATTACATCGCACGAGTACTTCCTGTACAGCGGAGTGTTGCTCTCGAAGGTTAATGCTCACGTATAACTGAGGGAAGGAGTGTTTGGGCAAATTAATTCGGGAGCTGATATTGCGTGTGTGGCATTGTGCAACGTGCAACATCCGTAGTGTGGCATTGTGCAACGTGAGGAGAATATTGGTCGATAGACTTTGTGCGTTCATCATTTGGAGCCGCCGACTGCTGTCATCATTTTATTACGCAAAAGTTAATTTGGCCTCTTATTGCGTACACAAAAAATAAAATCCTTTGAAAGGTGATGCAATGTATAGTGCGTTATTGCTGTTTCCATATATTAAAAACGTAGAAATGCTATTTATACTTGTCTTGTTTACAAGAATTTTTCATAGAAACGTTTAATATTAATAAATAGAGATACTTAGATGATACAGTAACGCCTAAAAAATTCGGAACTATTATTCTTCTAGTAATAATATGGGTCCCTTTTTTTCTCGTATTCTGATTCCCTGATTTTTTTTGTTGTTTCATTATTTGCCATTGACCCAATCTCAGTACTTGACGAGAAAAAATCTCCCACGTAATGAAATTAAGCCATCAAGACTGAGTGTCTGCTGCGCGTTCAAAGGTTATCGACGTGGCGCCATCTTCCGAATGGAAATGGAATTTCAACCCGGCGCGGCGCGGCGCGCGGACGGGCGGGCGTCGAGGGCCGCCGCGCCCGGATTTTGACGCGCTCTGCGGAAGAGCCCTCGGCGTGACGTCTGGCGAGCGCCCGCGCCAGCGAGCGCACTTTTTCATTGAGAGGATCCGCTATGATTGCAGCGCTGATTAAAGGGTGAACGACCGCACTGCGAGAAAGAGAATCGGAGAGGAACTTCCGGAAACAAAGGCTTGAATACTCGCATGGCTACCTAAATGTGCTTTTAATAAATGTAATGGCGTATTATTTTTATTTCGTCGTAATGAAATTTACATTTTGTTGTGTGAAATTATACGAAAATATTTCATAACATTATCATTTGAAAAGTAATCCTCTTTGAACAACGCCCAGCGTGTTCATCCTAATTTAACTTCAAACCGTATTAACATGTGGTTGAAATGACAGCTTTTAAATTATACACAACGGACGAGTTTTTTGAACTTTCGACGCAAAACGCGAAATAGCTGTTCCGTGATAACTGAATCATGACGTTCGATTCCTACTGCACTGCAGTGTGTGCTCTGGGCCATGTCACGGAGCGCCCAACGTAATCACATCGCGACTCGAAATTGTATAGTTTCCAAAGAGATGGAAGGCTCTCTTCATCTCTTGTTTTCGAAATAACTTCATCAAAGCATACAGGGTTCTGAAATGGGATCTCCCTCAATTGGATACCTTTCAGTGCCTTAAAGGTCGTTCTCCGAACTACTCAATACCTGGTCTGACCCGTAGCCAACCTTCTGCAAAGTATCATATGAAGTATCCTCTTGTTCGCTCTTGTGCTCCTTTGTCTTCTCCATCTCCGTCATTTATGAGCCCTTCTTTGTAGTCTCAATGTACTTACCCCTGCTACCGCCATTACTACGACTATTACTTCGTAAATTTCTAATACCATCTCGTGGCTGATTCTGTTCCTCTATTATCTTTGTTTTCATTCACGAGGATTCTCTTTCAGCCACTACTTGACAGTGCTCAGTTCATTCCTTTGATTTGTGCCCTTCTATTTTCCATCAACTTTGCTGAAAGTGGCATTCTATCGTCGTCTTCATCCATGCGCTATCACTCTATTTTTCTTTCTCTTTAGTTGACTTTTATTCTCATTCACCCCCAAAAATTTTTGTATTTATTTCGTCACCACCTGTCATTTTTCGTCCTATTATATAGCTCGAACCCCCACTATATCTCGTCAGAGTCAGTTACTACATTTGTTTTTCGATCTGGCTTCGCTCTTGCTCTTTACTGTGGTCTCCTTTGTACTTCGATTCCGCCATTTCCATGTCACTGACCTTTTCATATTCAGTCCAGCATCTTATATCCTCTTCTGTCTCTTCATTTACTTTGTCCTACAAATCTTGCCACTGTTTTCACACCATTTTTCTTCTTTATTTCCTTCGTATATTCTGCTTGTGCATTTAATTTCACCATCCTCTCGCCTCTTCTCTCCACTGTACCTGAAATGTTAACTTTTCCTCCACTCAATTCTATCCACATCTTCCTCTCTTAGTCCTCCACTTACGGTCTCCATTCTTTCTCATCGATCTCTCGTCTTCATATCTCCTTTTTTCTCTTACCCATTACTCTCTCATTTCTCAGCACCCCTGCCCGTCACTTTTGCTCTCCCAGCGCCGCCACTCTCCGCGCCCCCCGCCCGCGCCGCGCACGTGCGCCAGGCCTGAGGGCGCGGGCCGCGTCGCCGTGTAATGGCGTGTAAACACGAGGGCATTGTCCAGGGGAGCGCCTCGCCGCCCAGCGCCCACCTGCGAGCCGCGCGCGCGCCCGCCCGCCCGCGCGCGCTGCTTTTCATGTATCGGCCCGCGACATTGTGTCTACTCTGCGGTCGCCCGCCCGCCCGCGGCCAACCACTCCTACCCCTTCCCCTTTGCCGCCCCCCTCGCCCGCAGGCCAGGCCGCGAGCTGCGGGCTTCGGCCTCATGAATTCTCTCTCCCCGTGTCGCGCATCGGTCAGACAAGGGTTTCCTGCCCGTTCGACACGCGAAACAGCCTGGTCGCTCCAGGGGTTCCGCAGGGCGAGGTCGTGTGCTATTAAAATATCGTCATCGTTTGCTGTATGAAAGCATTATTTCGATCATTTTTTAATTATCCTTTTATGTAATAATTTAGCGATGTTTTGGTCGAGCAAATTTGTTATTGGAGAACTGTACTGCTTTTATCTACGATTAGTTTGCAGGGAAATTGTACGATTTTGTATTTTTTAATGGATATTTTGCATGAACATTTGATTATAAAATTGTTTGGGAGAAACCCTAGAGTCATTTTACTAATATACTGCGCAAAAATCAATCAAATTTAATTATATTTTTTAAAGTTTTGTTCAACGAGAACCTTGTGCTAGTCTGTGACAGAGATTCGCATTTCCAGTTGAAATCAAGCTTATTTTTAATGTTTATTGTTATTTATTTCATTATTATTGCTATTCATCCCAAAGTTTCATAATATAATAAACTATAACCTTTTTTGGTGAAATTGGATGGCGAAATGAAAAGTTAATGCGACCTAGACATTTAAATGAAAGGCAGTTAACATGTCAAAATATTAGTCTGCTTTTAATACCATTATATTGAAGACGTAACGAAGCTGTTGATTTCTTTTACGGCAACTTGAGCTGTACCCATTGTTAAATATGTTCCGAAGAAAAAACTAAGATCAACAAATATTATCCTGTTGGGTTTACAAAAGATAGCACACTAAATTTGATATATAAGAAGTATTATCGAAACAAATACTCTTCACACAATTAACTTAAGTGTAAATAATTAATGTTAACAATGTCTATAATTTGTTAAGATCCTATTTTGACAAAAGACATGTGGTGAGAAAACTGATGCATCGAACTTACACGTATGACATTGCCTATCAGCAAAGGAAGCGATGATCGAAATTTACTTGTTTGCAACTTCGTTAGATAAGATTTACCTCTACTCATTCATTGGCCAAAAATTATCATATTCGACCTCATACATTCATTCCAAGTTTGTAATATTTGTTCTGAGTCACTCGTACATAACTCATATCAGAATAGTCTAATAAAAACTGATAAATAATATGTACAAATTCAAATTAAGAACATAGACATGATAAAAATACAACCAGATGGGAGAACTCCGTAAAATAAATACTCATATAGTACAATTGCGAGTAATATAGGGAATACGTGAGAATTGTTACAGTAATTAGAATTATGATACTGTTTACTTGCTGTTGCTCCAATTGCCGCTTGCCCGCATGTTGCAGTCCAACCTGACGCACTTGATGCGCAAGGAGTTCGTGCCGGGCGTGGGGCTGGGCATCGCCAAGTGCCCCTACGACCCGGCTGACAACTCCACGGCGGTGTGGGTGGAGCGCGGCAACCCCGGCGAGCTGCCCGGCCTGTACAGCGGCACCAACGCCGAGTTCACCAAGGCCGACGCCGTCATCTTCCGCACCGACCTGCACAACCTCACCACGGGCCGCTCGGAGTACACCTTCAAGCGCACGCTCAAATACGACTCCAAGTGGCTCGACAGTGAGTACTCTGCTGCATGTTCTGCTGCTCTTCGCCCACACTTGTATCGGGTGCTCCGAGATAGACGCCTTATTCATTGAAAATGAATTTACAAAGCGATAGGTCAGTGCAGTTTGTCTAGTTAGGCCCTTGGCAGCGGATGATTATCAATATTATTTTATATTTTAATGACGATTTTTATAGCTTCATGAGGCAAGCGCACGCATCAGGACGTCATATTAGTAGTATTATTACGAAAAAAAAGTAGTAAGAACAGTAATGAAGAGATAATATTACGGAAGGTCAAAGAATTGTCTTAGTAATTTGCGTATACATATTCCTAAACAAAGTAACCAAGAGATATGTCACTTTTAGAATTGTAAGGATTTCCTGCCTATGCTCTCTTCATTTATTTTACTATCATTAAAATGCCGATTGAAATCCATAACAAAAAGTGACACGTGCCTCTCGTGATATAAAACTCGACTTGATCTAATAGAATTTATTTTGGGGAATAGGATTACATGAGCGATAACTTCCATCAGCTTCAATGCAGAAGTGTTATTTAATTTCGATTTCATAATGTTTATATAGATTGTTTTGATATTGGATAATAGGGATCGTCTAGAGCTTTCAGTTTTGGCTAGAACAGCAGTTTCCATACTGTGTTTGACAAACACTCTCGGGTTCACGAAAATATAATTTCAATGGAGGAATTCTAAATCGTAAAAAAAGGATCATAATGTTATTTTTCTAATTTAAAATGTAAAAGTTTAACTAATAGCCAGTTTGCACTCTCTGGCTTTAAAATGATTACTTTTATTTTCACCGTATATTAATTGATGTTCTGTTTTATTGTATTTCTTTGTAGTTGAAGACAACATTTTGGCCTTATTAATGTTTGTAATTTTTTAATTTATTTTAGTTTCTCGATCACTTAAACGCAAACTGCAATATTCATGAACTTCTTTGCAATATGTTCAATTGATAAACTTTTGTACCTCATCTAATAAGGTGAAGAAGGTGCAAAAGAACTTCAAAATAAATATTTTGCAGGATAATCTTAGAAGTATTTGCGTTTTAAAATGTTATTTCAAACAATTTGCATTATCATAATTGCTTGTATCTTTTGCATGCTTTAGTTTGGGCAATCGATATTAATTGCAGTTTGACTTGTGGGATAACTCATCCTTCGTAACCGATAGAGCACATAATGAAGCTGCATCGTAAATGAATTTAGTCACTTTTCAAGTTTAAACACTTTTTTTCTCCTCGCTTTTTCTCCTGCCTTCGGAAACAAATGAGTGTAAGCTCTTTTACTGGATGAGAGGAAACGTATATCTACCGGCTCCCCACCTTTATCAATGTACCGAAGTTCTTACTTTACTAAATAGCGCTTGTATCACCGACCTGGGACGACAAGATAAATTGAGAACGACTGAAAAATCGCCCCCAGCGATGCCTCATTCGATAGCGAACTCTTAACTGAATGTTGATGTTTTCTTAACTCCCTCACTGCCACCACGACTCCCCACGCCCACGGCGGCACTTTCGTCGTCCCCTCCCTCTTTGCCCCTTCGCGACAAACGACTGCGTGACTTTTTCTCGTGCTGCCGCGATAAGAAGAACGACTAGCCCTAGCTCAGGCAGGAGAGGGACGCCGCGCCATGCGTCTGTCTTAAGTCGCGAATCGCACCAACATGTTAATGAAGACCTGCGACGCAAAATGGTAACGCGCGACGCAAGCAACTCCAGGGCCCGTTCTTAACGACTGCCCTCTCCTCCCCCTGCCCTCCTCGACGCCCACCGCCTTCGTAGCCCCCCGGCGCCTCCCTCGCGGCAGGGCCGCATAATACCGCGATTACTTTCCCAGTGACATACCTAAAAAGTGCCCTGTCCATGCATACAAATAACACAATTAAAAGTTAAGTTTACTCCTAACGCCTTCCGTTCAAGGCGCCTAAGTTTTTACATAACCCCGGAGTTTCAGACGTCGAAGTTCCGTTGTGTTAGCGTTGCTTTGTCGAACGGCCACTTAGAGCGACAGCGTCGGGCATTTTCGCCGTTCGGCTTTTACCAATAATCGTTCTAATAATAATTACAATCGCTGGGCGAAGCCAGCTGTGGAGGCGCGATACATATCGCAAAAGCCGCAGTTTCATTTTAATACATCTGCTTGGGAAAATATTAAACATTGAATTCCAGGCCAAGTTTTGTTGTCTCGCGCTTTAAAATTTTAGAGCGCAGCCGTTAAAATAAACGATTAGAAGAGCGGAGGATCTGAAGGGTGGGGTTGTGGTGGTGGCGGTGGAGGTAGCAATGAAGGAGTCGGAGCGGAAAGGGAGGGGGTGGAGGATTCCGAGAAGCAGGAGGGAGGGATGCGGGATTATAAAGGAGGTTCGGGGAAACCCCATGGTATTACGCGTCGGGAGTCGAGAATTCCTTTTCGATAAGAGCCGGAATTCGCTCGTTAAGCCTGGTGGCGGAGGTCGTGTGGGCAGAGTAGTGCGGAAGTGTGTATATGCTTCCGCCCCCTACTTCTTGTCGACACTTGGCCGCCACCTCCGCCGTCGCTCTGCGCAGCCGCTGCTCCCACCACCCTCGCCCCGAACTGCCGCGACGTGCCAATGTATAAATGCGTGAAGGTTTATCTTCGTTATTTATATAAATTTTAATTAAACTTCCGCCCGATAAGACGGCGAGCACGTTAATTAACTTTTGGAATTGCCGTAAAAAGACGCACCTATCAGACAACATATTTCAGGCGGCTCGCGTTGAATGTTTAAGAAGTGCAGGCGCCTGGGAAATGAGTTCCTTCCATTTTTACGAGGGAGTGGGTTATCTTCAGCTCTAAGGACTTCGGTTTAGGTCGTCGGTATGCGGTTTCCCGCTCAAAGCTGTTATAAAGTGGAGGCAGTCACTAAAAACTCCCACTATCTTGTTGGCGGGCGGGAATTTAAATCTTCTTGGAGCAGCTCATAGATTTCGTAATTGCAACGACTTTGACCTCTATCCAATAAAACAAGAATTACCAGGATCTTATTTTCCGACAAAGTCGGGGTTAAACGTATTATGTGAAACTTGACTTTGACAATCTCGATAACTGTCATTGTGTTCCGTATCACTTTACGTCGCTCTTTGCCATCAACCGCGGCCGCGTTCACAAGCGTTTGCGGTGCTTGAGGAACAATTCCAGAGCGAGTGAGTGTTTTCGGAGCTCTTTTTCGCGCCTCGGGTCGCGGCGCGGCGCCCTCTATCTCGATGCGAGCGGTTCAGTCGTTTGCCTTCGTGTCTGCCGCGCAGGTGAGCGACTAAAGGACCCATAAAAAGATTTTATTTTCCGCCTCGTGTTGCCGCGCGTGAAGTGGTTCGGGGAGAGTATTGGATATCTTGCCGACACCACCACCACTGCCCTCTTTTCGTGGCTGTCAGCGAGCTTGTACTTGCCGAGCTGTTCTATCTACGCTTCTCCCACACCGTAAAGTGTCATCTATTAGGAAATGTCTAACCTATGGTCCAATAATTCCCGCGTAATTGTATCTTAAATAATTTGCCTGCACATCTCTTTTGAAATTCGCCATTTCGTTTCTTACATTTTACAGTATTTAGTTCACTTTAAATGTTTCTTGTTACCCACTCTTGCTCTTATTCCTCATATTTTTATTAATATTTTTTTTCGTCCTCCTTTTATGTCTTTATGTGCTCTCTCCCCCACCATAACAAGTCCACTTTCTCCTCGGTGTCCTAACTTCTTATTCTTAGGATTAATTTCAGGATACATTTACACATACATTTTTATCGTATCGCATTAACTCGCGCGTGTGAGATTCAGGCGACCACATCAGTGATTCAACGTAATTGTTCAACAAAATATTTTGTCTCAATCGAATTTCCGTTCATTCTAATGGTATATTAAATAATACTTTCGTCTCTACCCGCAGTTCCAAACAACTTCCAATAATTTCCGTTGCTCTTTCCTTCTGAATCTTGTTCTCTCGTCGACCTGTCTCAAGACCCCACATGTGCTACTGCCTCCCTCCGCCGCCAGTGCGAGCGCGACGCATCGGGGACGATGGGGCTCCGCGCCGTAAGAACCGGCGCGGCTGCGGCGCCGCGATGTCAACAGCGCCACCGCGATAAGGCGCAGCGGTAATTGAGCGCTGTGCGCACAACTGTGCGGAACGTATACTTTATTATTTTCCAACTAAGATACCCATAAAAACTACCTACCCATAAAAGAAAATAATAATATTAGCAATCATGTTTTACCAAAATGAAGTTTAGTATGTGATATAGTTGACAATGTTGTTTAAGATGCTTATTAATTACCTTGCTGTTGTATTGGGCTACGCGCGTGCCTGTGACTTCAGAATTGACGTTTCATGTTTCCTTACCTCTACGATTATAAAATACTATCTTCTTATCAATTTAAGCTTAGAGCAAAAAGAGTTATAAATGTCACTGAACATCAACTCAGTATTAAAGTAGTGTAACCTGACGCATATAATGGTATTTCATAGATACTGACGTGTAAATCAAGAAATTAATACTAAGGTCATGTTCATCATTTTATTATATTGAATTCAACTGTGTTAGAATAGAACCTCTAGGAAATAATGTGGCTTTTAAGAGATGCTCAGTATTCACTAATTTACATTCGATTTAGCAAAACCTACAAGAGGTACTTCCTTTAGCCTAAAGCCGCAGTACCTTTCTATGACAATGGTCTTTCCTCGACGGTTTTCTATCACCCCACCGTCGCCCGTCTTCCTCATAAGCCTCGTCTTAAATTAAAACCGCCTGAGCAGGTCCTTGTCTTCGCTCTCGACACAAGAAGTGCTACTTCGGTGCCTATTTCCCGCCCCTGCTCGTAAATACAGCATTTTCTGCTTTTACTGTCTTGCGAATATCCGCGGACTTGGGATTTTTAATTAATCGAGACTCTTAATGACGCGTCACCTTCCCCTCCCTTCCGCCAGTCGCCGCCGCCGCCGCCGCCGCTTCTTCCAAGACGGCGCCACTTGTCCTGGGCGCCTCGGCGCCAGAGAACGTGCCGCCCCGCGCCCCGCGCCCGCGCCCGCGTCCCTCCCCGCGCACCGCACCGCGCGCCGTTTTTTCAACGTCGAAAAGCGCGAGCAGAGCGGGTTAATGCTGAAAAATTGTGTCGACAGCTTGATACAGCTATTGTGCACGTCCAGGCGCGTGCCTCATAAACAGCGTTTGCCAGGCAGAGCACTCCGGCGCAGACAAAAGGCTGGCGATGGGATGAATAATTGCGCCCGTCCACGCCCCGCCCCTTCCCCCTCCCTCTATCCACGCCCGCGCGCCCCGCCGTTTGCTCTTTCGCGAAGGCCTTTGTTTTAGAGACGCGCAAAACGCCTGGTCGTTTGCTTCGATTTCGGCCAACTTTCCTAGCAGAGGGTGGCTGTCTAAGGATGCAAAGCGGCCGCCGCACTCAGGGCTTTTAATATTTATCTCTCGCGCGAAGCCGAATCTTTTGTATGGGCCTCCCCTCCCCTCTCGGTCCAACAATTCGTCAATTTCTCCGTTGGGAAATTCGCCCCGCCGCCGCCGCCCCCGCTCCGCGCGCGCCGCCTATTTCAGGAGCGTAACTAGCGGAGGGGGAGTCGCGACCGTCCTCGTGGTTTTCATTCGGGGAAGATTTCGCCGATTGTCCCGAGGCGGCTCCTAACTGCAAGTAGCATTACTGGCAATCAATTTGTAACGCTGGGTTTGGTTTCTGCACTTAGGCGCGGCAGCGGTGGCCTCTCAAGAGCTGGGAACCCCCCGGAGCTTACAGCGTCTTAGCCATCAATTTTAAATAACCTTCTTTTACACAGCAAAGTACATTGCATATTTATAACGCACATATCTGTCGCGGCTTAATATCGTATACATCAGCCCGAGCCGCCGGCGCGGGTGCGGGGACGGGCGAGGAGGGAGTCGAGCGGAGGCGGAGGAATACATTACGAAACGGTGGCAGCGGCGGCGGCGCATCATCCGTATTGAGACGCAACCGCGGCGGTGGCGGTGGAGGCGCCGCTGTACGTGCGGGATAGATGGCTGCGTGGCAGGCGCCAGGCAAAAAGATGAACCGGGAGGGGGGGGAATCTTCCATCAATAATTGAAAGGTTCTCTCACTCGAGTACTTCCGGCCGGGAGCGCGAGGCGGCGGTGGCGGGGAGAGGAAGCGGGGAAGGCGTTTTTCTCGCCGCATCATCCCGCAGCGCCAGCGCGGGCGGTTCCGCCCCATTACCCAGAGCGCGTTATATTGGTATAAACTCTCATAACACGTACAAGAATTTCATAAAAAGATTCGGAACGCGCCCCGCTCCTCCCCGCCCTGCCGCGCCGCGAGCGCGCTGGTTCTCCGAAAGGAGGGGCGGGGGCGCCGGTGCGGGGAGAAACGAACTGGGCGGCGGAGCAGAGCTGCTGGAGCCGTGCCAGAAACTGAAATTCGCCCTCCCCCCCACCTTCGCGAGCCTGAAAGGGAATAGTTTCAATGAAAGCGTTTTTCGACCGGTGGTGGCGACGGCAGGTAACTCAGTGGGTTAGCGATGATTTCCAAGAATTTTTGTTAGATATTTCCCTAAAAATGTTACTGATTTGACAGAAAGTTACGGCCCTTTGAATGTAATTACTACTTGAATAGATGTTATTAATGTAATTTAATTTGTTGGTTGCAACTCTCTTATTAAATATGACTATCAAAGACCATTCAATTAATTAATTTTTCGTTCGTATTTTGTCCATCATTTATTCAGCCTATCTAATTAGGTATCGATTTTTTCTTTACTTTTAATGTACACATTCGTAATTATTTGAAAGGGCTTTTGGAGTCCCCCTTTCAGTTTTTTAAGTGAAGGTCTGGGCAGACTTTCAGCTGCGGTCCACTCTTTTGTTCATTACTCGGCGCTCCTGTGGGAAGCAGGGACGCGTAGACCACGTGACTGCGATGCGGGGAAGCCCCGACCAGCGCTCCGCGCCGTCCCCAGGCGTTTCACCGCGCCTTCGATAATTCCCATTACAGCGACACGCCGCCTCAACTCTGCCTCACGGAAGCCCGCAGCACACGACGCAGTCGTCGACGCCCAGCCTCCGCCCCTTCCTCCCCTCCCTTCTGCATCTTTGTCGATCCCAAGCCACCTTGCTGCCTCACAACTAGCATGCGCTGCACAGCCGTCTTCTGGCCACTTTCAAGCTACATCAGCCTCCAGTCTCACCGCTGCACGCCGCCATCGCCACTACCAATACTGCTACCTTCAATAAAACCACCCCACCACTACGACAAACTACACTACTACACCCAATAGCTCTATTATCAACAATACTACCACCTTCAACAGCATCCACAACAACAGAAACACCAACAGCACATTTACCACCAACAAGAATAACACCACTACCAACAACAACACTACCTCCAACTATAACAACACCATCACTACCACCAAGACCACAACCATTCCTCCACCTCAACGTCACCCCACCGCCATTCTGCCATTACCCCGACGCAACTCGGCCGCTTTCAGACTGTCCCTTCTTCCCTCAAAGTGCTTCGTCCCCGCTGTCACAAGTCTCCCCGCCGGCCGGTCGGTCGCCTCGGCGTCTCACCGGCCAGCTTCCCAGTTCCTCCGTCCATGCCTCTCTCTTGCAGTACATACCGCCTCTATTGTCGCTCTGGTGCACAACGGCAGGCACAATTAATTTATGGTAGCTATGTCGCTATACTTCCCCCACCTTTAACACTCCAGGTAGCCTTTACAAACGACTGCAACTTTTGCAGCCCTCGTGAAGCGACTTCATAGATTATCTCTCTCATTGAGAATTACAATTACTCTGTCTCGTTTCTCTTTCCTGCGCTCTTCCTACAATTACATCTTCAGTGGTAACCATAGAACTTAGTATTACCATTACCCTTACCCTTACACTCACCCTTTCTATAATTATTACTTATCACCCGTGCTATTCTCTGTCATAATGGCTTAGGTAGCAACGTACCTTGCAACCACAACTTTATTTTTACCGTGTATTCTCATTTTGTGCCACTTTCATTACCAGAGTAATTGATATTTAACGCAATGACCTAGTCACTTAGACATAGTGGTAATGTCACTACGTCATATCAACTGTGTTATTATAGCTACTCGAATTATTGCATCAACTCCTACGATAATAGGAATAGTAACCTGCTGTCACACTAGTTTATTGCTGACTTTCCCGATCTCAATGACCGACTTTATTTCTGCTGCCTTCCCTGGCATGCAACGATCACCATTTTCATAGCCACCGATAAGTCTCTCTGCAAAACATTCATCCAACATCTGTCAAATGCAACATTAATATTCCTTCGCTCTCGCTACCTAACTGTCCCTTGTGGAATTCTCACCGACGCCATCGCCACTTCCATCACTTCAGCCCAGAACCGCTTCCTCTACGAACGCAGCAGCAGATAATTAGTGTTCCCTTCAAGCGGTAGACTGCGCCGCGATCGTCTGGAGGCCCCTCACTTTTGAGGATTCGTTTTGCTCGAAAATTGCGTCGCGCGGAAGCAGGAGCGCGTAGGGAAGAGAACGTTGCCGCCGCCGCCGCCGCCGCCGCCGCCGCTACTGGGACGAACTCTAATGTCCTTAGGTCCCCACGGGCTGTGCGCGGCGCCGCGGTACCTCTTGTCGCCGTAATAGGCTTACAGCACTCCTTGCGGTCGAATTAAGAAGCCGAGTATCCGCGCGCCTATTTAGGAGCTCATTGCCAGCGCGAAACCGCACTGGTGTGCTCGGTGTGCTCGGTGTGCTTACGCGCCGCCCGATATTTGCTTGTTAATTTTGAGTTGCTTAGGCGGTGCCTCCGCGGCGGAGCTTCTGGGGCAAACTTTTCCCTAGCGCAAGTGAAGCAGTTTTGCGTTGAATTAAATAGTGTTACGTTGGGGAAGGGCATAAAAATAATTTTCTCCAAGCGGATACACCTTCGATTATTTCTTTAGGGTAATTGAGTTGCACTCAATTCCGCTTTCGCCTTCCCACTTTCACTTCTCTTAGTTTTATCCTCAATTTTATGGCATTTTCATTTTTTGCAGCTTGTTTCTATTTTATTTTGTGAGTCTGTCTCGTTACTATTTTCCATTTCTATTTTGCTCCGGTATCTTACTCTCGC